GAGAAGACGTGTGCGATAGCTCGGCCCTTCCGCGAACCCACTGAAGTGTGTGTGTGTGTGTGAGGGTTGTTCTGTGCAAGGGTGTGTGCATGTGCTGCGATTGAGGGGTTAAGGGAGTCAGAGAGGATGTGTGTTTTAGAGCAGAAACAGAAGGGAGAAACAGCAGGGGGATCAACGCAGCCAGCCTGAACTGTAGCCCGTGTGCGTGTATGCATGTGTGATATGTGTGTATGCATGTGTGTGCGTCTGTGCCTGGTTTCTGAGAGAGCCCATGCTGAGCTCTGAGCTGTGCTTACTCCTAGACCTGGCTCATCTGCATCCGTCTCCTGCACTCGCTCCCTCTCTTTTTTTTGCCCACTCTTACCCGCCTCGCTCGTCCTCTCTGTCTCTCTCCCACTGTCTTTTTGTAGCACATTCCTGTCTGGCTGCCTGTTGGAGTCCAGCTGTGAACAAGGCAAACAGAGAGGATAGCAGGCCCTTAATGTATTCCAGGTAGCTCGTCGCTGTCACTGTATGCTCCTCATCTGTGGGGGCGGAGCTTGTTTTCCTTATCCTTTATACCTGTAATATCCACCATGTTTAGTTACAATACATCTATACAAACAGAAGGTCACATAACTACATAGAGATGTTACTTGTAGTGTTGAACCCACAGAGAATGATCACCCAACTTTACAGTTCTCCTCGGCTCTGTGGTGCTTTTTAGCATCTTTCAGCTCATTGTTTTGGTTTTGCAGCCATCATCGCTGTTTTGATTCAGTCTGTCTCACCAGCCTCATTTCTAGGTTGTTGTTTTCTGATGATATGCAGACTGTGTGCTACCTGTGTGAAAGACAGACAAAGTTAGCAACTACCAGTTGAACATTGCGTAACAGCTAAAGATCAAAAAACAGTCAAAAGGAGAGTGTTGAGCTTAAATTTAGTGCCCTGTAACACAACTCTAATGGTGCTCTGTGTCTGCTGGATGTCTAAACAGGAAACTGTTTGCAAACACATTCGACATAGCATCTTTATGAAGATATAATATGTCAATGTTGTGGTTATAGCTTGTTCTACGGCCCCCAAGTGGCCAAAAAACCAATTAACGCCGATTTAAGTAACTTCATTTCTGGAAATGTGCAAATTAGAAACCTGGTCTCCCCAGCTGGATTTCTCCTGGAGAAAGCTGTTTTCTTGGCATTATATTCACATAACCAGGTTTCTTATCAATTTTTTTACATGAACAATACTTCAGGCTGCAGAGCTACTGTTGAGGATGACAGAAAAATGTGTGGCATCCTTGTATTCAAATTAACTTAGTTTTAGTTGTAGTTAAACTATAACTGACATTAAGCAGCCTCTATAGGACTAAAGTTTTAAGTAGTTTAGTTCCACAGCTGAACTTTTGTCTATTTGTCAAATTTAGATGGGATATTCATCAAGAAATAGCCCCAACACATACGCAAAAATAAAATCACAAACAGTTGTTTTTACATTTCAGTTCATGTATGTGTAAAACAAACAAAATACACCACCTAAATGAGAGCTTACAAGGCTTTGGAAGGCATCTTTTTTTACTCTGGAAAGTGTTTCCCCACGCCTCCAGTATTTATGCTAAGCTAGGCTAACCACATCCTGAGAGACAAGAGACTGATACAGTATTGATCTCCTCAGTGTCACTGTCGGAAGGAAAGCCAATTAGTGCATTTGCCAAGATGTTGAACAATTTGTTTAATATAGGGGAGGTCTGTGGAGCTGCGGATGTAAAATGAAGATGATGAATGCAAAAATAAATGACCCTCATAAGGTTTTATGGTCAATATCGTGCAGCTGTAGTTTGCTGTCTAATGTGAGTGTGAGGTGAGGGAATAGCAGCCCTCAGCAGCTGCTTCAAAGACCTATCCAGACACTTTTTTGCAGTCTAGCTGGGCACACACACACATATATATATACAGACACACACACGCTCAGTGTAGATCAACCCTCAGTCATGGCCCTGTGCTGCAGGGAGACTGGAGTGATGGAAGCAATAGTTAAGCCATTAAGGCAAACAATTGGCTCAAATTGAGAGGGAGAGAGAGAAAAGAAGAGGAAGAAGAGGGAAAGAGGGAGGGAGATGGAGAGGCCATGGCAGGAGTGGATCCACTCAACGACTTAATCCGAGCCCCAGGACACTCTCCTGCTGAGCTTCACACACTCGCACAAACATCTACACGCGCACACGCTAAAGCTCTGTCTGCTTGCAATAACACCTTGTCAGTCTTGGCCACAGGGGCGATGGAAGAGGCCCTCATTCCTTTGTAGTGAGGAGAGTCACCTACTTCCAACCACCTCGGGGAAAGACCGAGCATGCAATCTACACAAGGCAGTTCTGTAAGCGTTCGTACGCCTTATGGCTGCAAGTGTGAGGCTATTCATTGTCTTAGCAGGCGGAGTGAATGGTGGAGGGAGCACAGGGCGGACAGTGTCCTAGACGAGGGAGGCGCTTCTCTGACACCGGCTATTGTATCGTCTCCTCCGTGGACTCGTTCAGTCCCCACAGGCCTCACATAAACAGCCAACAATGAGGGATTGTGTCCAGCTATTCTTTGTCACACACACATCAGCTCCACGTGTGTGTGTGTGTGTGTGTGTGTGTGTGTGTGTGTGTGTGTGAGAGAGAGAGAGAGAGGGCGAAGGGATGATGTGCTGCAGTCCTGAACCCAGCGACCGCCGAAGCTCGTCCGATACAGTCGTCTTGCCGTTTATGTGCCTAATCATCAGCCAGTGATAGGGGCAGTAACTCTTCGCCACCTCCGCTGCCCTTTCCTTCCCTTCCTCCCTTCTTTCCCCCCCATCAGCAGCCACCCTTGGGGCTCCCTCAGCGCGAGGCCCCCGCGATTTATCGGACAGCTTAGCGAGGAGCCGTTGCTGCCGCGAGGACTGTTAGCACTGGTTTGGCTCGTTGACTCCTTCTCCGGTTCTGGCGTTTTACTTGACATGTCCTTTAAGTCCTTTAAAGAATTGGGCGTTTCCGCTGAGCGCCTTGGCTCTTTCTGCAAAAGATGGATGGCCCGCGTTCAAAGGTCTGGATGTTTTTTCCCTCCCTCCCAGTCTTTCTCCATATCTCTTTTTCCCCTCCCTCCCTCCCTCCCTCCTTCCCTCTTTCTCTTTCTCTCTTGCTGAGCTTTATAGGGTGGCATTAGTGTTGTCAGCTAACCAAGCTTGGGATTTGGCTTTGTTTTGTTTTTGCCTCTTAAGATAATTCTCTTTCTCTCTCCTGCCGAGAATAACAAAAGGGAAAGTAGAGCTATAAAACAGCACAGCCATTGACTTTGGTTTCATTAAATTGGTTTTCAGCCATCTTAAATAGACCACAGGCCTTGATGGCAGTGATGTGTGTGTGTGTGTGTGTGTGTGTGTGTGTGTGTGTGTGTGTGTGTGTGTGTGTGTGTGTGTGTGTGTGTTGGCAGTGATGTGTGTGTGTGTGTGTGTGTGTGTGTGTGTGTGTGTGTGTGTATGTGTGTATGCTGTGGCCATTTGCGTATGATTGTCCTCAAAAACACAGCCACACTTTGCCTCGTGCGTCCTCGGGTGGCATTCTCATCTCCGTAGGGCCTCGCCGCTGAAAGCCTTTCCTCGCCTTTATTCGTCCGGGAAAAAAAAGCGACGCCGTAGCCGGAGTTAGCATTCAAAACACGTGGACAGAAGAGTGTGTTTCGTGAAGATAAGTGTTGTAGCTCCGCAGTGAAAAAGGGTGAAAGCACTTCACCCCCATTTCATATGCATTCCAGATGTGGAAATATAACCAGACCGATCGGCGTGTAAGCATCTGTGTCCTGTTAGAGGGCCTGGAGGTTTACTGTACTGGTTCTGCAGCCTAATCCCTCACACACAACCTCACATTAACACGCTGCATGCTGCTTATTCATTCATGCATGCGAGCATGCACAAACATTCGCCCATGCGGGTGGTGGGAGACAGCGGGCCAACATGCATTCATAAAGTGTCTACAGCTCGTCCAGTAGCAGATGTCAGGTCAACAAGTACAGTGGGAAAAGCAGATATACTTTGTATGTTGTCTGTGTTCAGCTCAGTCCTACAGTGTGGATTTACTGGCATCCTGAATAGATCCGCTGCTGCATCTTTATATCAAACATCCAGTTAGGGTCAGCGTGATGTGTCAGTCTGCTGATGTGTCGGGTCAGTATATATAAAAACTGCAAGCTTCAGGGATCTCAGTCTGTAAAACCTGTATTGAAAGCTGCCTCTCACTGCTGTGAGGAGCTGCCGAGGCGCCCCAGAGAATTTTATTAGTGTGGCTCACTGCGATTCAGTGTCCCTTTGATGGTCTAAAGGCTGTTTTAGGGCCCACTGTGTTGAAAATAAAATTCTGGGTTTTGTACTTCTTTTTTGTCTTTTGTATTTTTGAATTTTTGCATTTCTTTTTTGTTTTGGATATACGGGTCCCGTTCTTAAGGGAATGCTTTTTCCAATTTGGTTGAAATTACCTCAAAGTCTTTAATTGTGTTTAAAAAAAGATTTTATGTATTTTTTTTGGTATGTTTTATTCTGTCTTGTGAGTATTGCTTTCTATTATTTTGGCAGAGGTGATGACCCATTTTTTTCCCCTTTCACTGCACACTAATTGTCTCCCTCCAGTGAAAACCATGTATGTCCAATTGTGGTGATTTAAAATTTTTCAGATTAACTGAAAGTGTTTCTGCGTGGGTTTAGAAAATACTTTTTCACAAAGCTGGAAACCAAAGCTGTTTTGATTCTGGAAAGTTTACATAGTGGAGGTTTTCCACAGCACAAAAACACGATATTTGATGTTACTTTCTATGTCCTTTGAGTTTTTTTTACTTGCACAAGATAAAATCAACAAACTTTTAAGTGCCTTAAAAACCTTGTGTAGAGTCAAAGCACGTAGCTCTAGATAACGAATGCTAGGACCACGAGTCTGATGCTGTTGGTGTCACTGGTATAAAATGGTGTACTTCTAAGCTCTTAATGTTCCGCCCTCTCTCTCCAACAGTAACGGCACGGCCGGGAAGATGAACGGGGCGTTGGAGCATTCGGACCAGCCAGACCCGGATGCCATCAAGATGTTTGTGGGCCAGATCCCGCGCTCCTGGTCAGAGAAGGAGCTGAAGGAGCTGTTTGAGCCGTACGGAGCCGTCTACCAGATCAACATACTCCGAGACCGCAGCCAGAACCCTCCACAGAGCAAAGGTACAGTGGCACAGGACACACTTTCATTCTGTCCCGTCCTCTGTTTTTTCCCTCCCTTCTTTGAATTTGCTTTTCTTATTTTCTTCTTCCTTTTCCTGCTTGCTTTCTTCTTTCTGCAGGACAGTTTCATTTCCTTCACTTCCTTTCTTCTTACCAGTTTTCTTTCTTTTTCTTTCTCCTTCTCCTCTTTCTTTCAGTCTTCTTTCCTTCCGTTCTCTCTTCATTCAAAAAATTAATATTTGTTTCCTATATTCCTTCTTTACTTTCTTGTATCTGAAAATGAAAATAAAATGTATGAAAATCTTCACCTTTAACGCAGGACTTCAATTTGTAATGGGATATTTATTGTTGCTCTCTAAACTTAAGTAAAAGGATTTGAATGGGCACATATACACAAAGACACTCATGCAAATATATACAGACAGACAGACACATGAATGCATAATACACTTCCATGAACCCGGATCCACATAGAGAAACACATTCTGTACACACACACAGAGACACACACAGCAGTCAGTGGCTGAGTGGGCCGTCCCACGTAGTTAATGGCAGAACAAATGATATATGTGCAAAATTACACAAGCAAACACACATTTCGTGCACCATTGGAAGACAAAGACTCTCCCAGCCAGACTTACACAGTCAATTGTGCGAAACCGCATGATTTGCAGCTATTTTCTCCCATTCCTTTTCTTTTTCCTTTGATGAATTCGTCAAGTGTGAGAGCAAACAATAGAGACAGCAGCAACGAACGGGCAGACAATAGCGCTGCCATATTAACAGGCATCAACCGGAGTGGGGGCTGATGACACTCCTGATGAGACATGGAGAGTGGGAGGAAAGTAAAGAGGACGTCAGGAGGGGAGATGTGGCGCTTCCATCCAACTGTAAAGCACATTTCAAGAGAAGTTTCAAAGTGTCACACGGAACAAAATATGAATCAGTGGGGATGAAGCAAATAAAGCAAGTAAGCACTCATCTGCCAGAAGAATGGAGCTGAATTAAGGATTTATCATTTTTGTGCAAGAGGATCTTCATCATACATGTCTGGAAACACCCGACGATGTCTTAACGTCGCAACGAGCGGTCATAAATCTACCTTATGTTCTACAAAATACATTTAAATACTGCAGATTTGTTTTGTCAGACTTTTTTTGGGAGGAAATGTAATTGCTCCCTGGGTTACGTTTGCTGGCAAGGTTTTTTCCAATTCAGGAATATCCAATACAGTTTTACACCGCACATATGTCATAAGATGGATGAAGGATTGGCCAAAGCTCAGGTCTTTGACACCACAGACCAGGGTTCATGTTGCTCATGGTTTAGGCTTGTTAAGGTTAAGGTCAGGAAAGGATTGCGGTTTTCGTTTAATGTTGAAAAAGTCAACACATTCCATCTTGTGATTCAAATGGCGACTTTTTCAGTATTTAACTGAGACCACCATCTTTCCCTAAACTCAACCAAGTGTTCTAAGTGGCCTAAAAATTGCTAGAAATTAACTTGAATACTTTTACAGTTGTTGTTATGTTGGGTATGAATGTTTGTGTTGGCAGGAAACGGCACGTTCCATGCAAACAAGGCCTGATTTCTAACCACGGAAAGTGGGCAACTGCCCAACATTCAGATCCCCATTGGCCCCTATTGCATGTCATCTGGCTTTGGTCATCATGACAAATGGAACATATTAGTTATTGTTCACTAATCTTGTCTATCAAAATCTAGTTTTAAGACTTTTATTTTTTAGAAAACCAGTTAGTTCCAGCATTGGAATACAGGCTGGCCTCTGGGTTATGTGGGCTGCCATACAATGGAGCTGCCATGTAATGCTCTGCTGTGGGCATTCAGAGGTTGTGTGTTCAATGTGCACAGGGTGGGGGGGGGGGTTAAAGGGGGGTTAATGGAAAATTGTTGTTGGGGGGCCCCTAAATTGTTGGTTTGGCCTTGGTGCAAACAGATTCATTTACATGAATGTAGTCTATAGGATGCACACTAGCAATGGGTGATTTGGTAGAAACGTGTACGATATTTCTTTTCACTTTCTTTTCTTTTGCTACTACCTCTCTGTCATATTTATTTACAGAATTTGCTTTTTGCTATTATTTTTGTATGATTTCCTTTTCTCTTTTTTTTTAACTTGCATTCCTCAGGTGAGTGTAAAAGCTTTTTGGAGACAGCCGGGGAGGCAGATGTCACCAATTCTAAATTAACACGTGCTATTGAGATCATGTTTTGAAATTGAATGGAATTTTCAGTGGCTAAAAGGTGTGCTGTCCTTCACCTTTCTGCACCCACAGTCTCAGTCTCACATCTCAGTCTGCTTCTGTTTTTAGCTTTCTTTCTCTGTGTGTGTCACCTGAGCTTTGAAAGCCTGAAGACAGTGTTCTGCCAAGTCCCAAATCAACTCACTTTTGCACACCAACACACTTATCATGCGCTTTGTGTTTGTGTGTTCTTAGCCTTGAGATGACTCCTTCTCTCCCCACTAGTCTCTTCTCCCTCCTCTTTTTTGCTCTCTGCTGCTTCTGAGGAGGGAAAAAAAAGGGCCAGAGTTCCTCCTCCTGTCCTTCAACTCCCTCAAATCTCCTGCTTCATCTTCACTACCCTTGAAATGAGTTGTTTTTATGGTTGATGAGTCAAGAGTATCACTCACCAGCACTTCTACAGGGGGAAAGAACACCTACCATGCCTTTTATTTATTTTTTCTCTGAATGGCAATCTCTCGCTCTATATTCCTCATTTTTGTGGTCGCTCTTTCTGTGCTGCGAGGTGGAGTGTTTTAAGAGGAAATGTAGCATTTGATTGGGCTCTTACTGGCCTTGTTATTCGCAGGCTTTGAGCACTGTTGTTGTTTTCTCATAGTTAAGTAAGCCGCCTGGCCTCATCTGCACCCGCTCAACTCAGAGGAGTTGCAATGGCCCCCTTGCCGGCTTCACTGTTGCGCCGGAGCCGATGGTAATTTCACCGGTGTCAGGGAAACTGTGGCCTCTCTCTTCCCTCAGTGTGTTTATTTTAAATTAGCGACGGTGTTGTTTGAAAAGGATCTCAGCCATTTGGGGCAAATGAGCCCACTCCGATGCCCCAGTGGCGACCCAGAGGCACTTTTTCCTTTTTCGTAAAATAGCAGTTTGGATTCAAATGAGTTTGTTGGTCCCACTGAGACGCAGACAAAGTTGCAACTACAAGCCTTTACAACTCCAACAACTTCTCTGTTTCCTCCTTTTGGTTTTGTTTGGAGCCTCATTAGCTGACACTTCAGCAACCGCTAGTCCAAAAAAGAACATCAACAACGAAAAGATAAAAAAACAGCACAACATGGCAGATATTAATTGACAGCAGATATTTGGCGAGTACAAGATAAGATTCTAAACTAGAAAATTCCTAAAGCAATTTTGATTGTGCCTTGCTCTGGCCCATATGTTAATACCATGTCTACGTGCTAACCGCTAATCGCTAGCTGTGCGCTAATCGCTAGCTAAGTGCTAACCGCTAGTTGCTAGCTAAGTGCTAGCTGTGGTTAATGTGTTTAATTGTATTATTCTCCTGAAGGAGTGCTAATGTAAATGAAGTAACAGCTCACAGTAGGGTAAAATATTTAAGGTGTATTGAACTTATTTTGTGTTAATATTAAAATCATTCAGCTTTAAATTGTTTGTTTGTTAGCCACCTGCTAATTATCTTTAGCTAGCCAGCTAGCGCTAGATTATTAATGCCATGTAATCCTCCCTATAGCATATTGATAACCTGTCATCCTCCTTAGCTAGCGCTAGCATATTAATATCATGTCATTCTCTTTAGCTAGCTAGCTAAAGCTAGCACATATAAACACATAAACCAATGGTAGTGCTTAGCTACATGCTAATCGCTAGCTATCCGCTAATCGCTAGCTACATGCTAATCGCTAGCTAAGCGCTAATCGCTAGCTGTGCGCTAATCGCTAGCTAACCGCTAATCGCTAGCTAAGTGCTAGCTGTGGTTAATGTGTTTAATTGTATTATGCTCCTGAAGGAGTGCTAATGTAAATTAAGGAACAGCTCATAGTAGGGTAAAATATTTAAGGTGTATTGTTCTTATTTTGTGTTAATATTAAAATCATTCAGCTTTAAATTGTTTGCTTGTTAGCCACCTGCTAATTATCTTTAGCTAGCCAGCTAGCCAGCTAGCTTATTAATGCCTTGTCATTCTCTGTAGCTAGCTGTGTGTGTGTGTGTGTGTGTGTGTGTGTGTGTGTGTGTGAGCAGGCTTTGGTTGTCATGGCAATCAGGGGAGCCCACAGCAGCTGCGCACGCTCTCTCTGTCTCTAACTCCTCAGAGAGACAGAAAACAATTAAAACGAATCCCCTCGAACGCATGGCCAGGAACGACCGAAATGAAAACCGAAAACACCGTGAGCGTCGTCATCTTGTTGACTATAGCGCTGCCGAGTTTCAGTGGCTAAAGTTAAAAAATGTGACCTGGGGAGATTGAGAGAGAAGAGGTTCAACGAGCGTTTTTCAAGATTCCTCCTCTCCATTTTAATATGGGAGTAGATGGGGCCGTGAGAGGGAGTTGCTGGCGCATCAGTGCGTTTCCCGCCAAAACTATTTGTCTGACAGCTTCAGCAGTGGTATCACTGCGACCCCAACGGATTTACCTACGTTTCTATCTATAAATTATTTCTGTAGAGTGAAATTTGTGGCCATGACAGCAGTTTACAAATTTATTTTTAGACAAATTTTTCTCTCTCCCCACACTCTAGCGATGATGTCACACACTCTGGCAGTTTTTTTCAGTTGGAGGTTCTCGCAATACACACCCATTCATTTTTGGACCGGTTTTCGGCGATTTACCGGCAAACCGTTTGGCGAAATTCTTAGAAAAGTCATAGCACTAATGTCCTCAACGAGCCGCACGTTTGATACCTTTTTGTGTATGTGCGACAAAAGCTCTGGGAGAAGAAGCGCCAAAAACGTACGGAAGAATAATAATAAGTTTAACTAGAAAATTCCTAAAGCAATTTT